AAATGATACCCTATGTGGACTCGCAGTACGTACGTACACGGCCAAGTATCGCGTGTCTACGTTCGTTGTTGCAACTCTTGTACGTACGTACATACGTGGTCTCTTGATCGTGTGTGTCTGTGTGTGTGTGCGCGCACGCGTATATATACGTGCACGAGTACAAGCGTCGATCGCATAAGTGGTCGTCAAGGTTAGCCACCTACTCGCTATCGCGGGACTCGCGCGCACTCTCCGCGGATGCATTTGAGTCGTCTTGCCAGCTTTTAAACTTTATATCATGTATGCACTCGCCGCGGAGAATCAAGGAAACGAATCACCGAGCGCTGAGGCTCGCCTCAGCCTTCTCTCCGTTCCGTTCTGCGACTTTTGCACGTTTTATGACGCACGTTTCGTCTATCCACGCACACCGCCGCCGCAGCTATTGTGCAACACCTTTCACAGCGTGTTTCACGCTACTGTTTCTCCAATTTTTTCTTTTTTTTCTTTTTTTTTTTTTTTACTTGTGACTGCTCGGCTGGAATCGAGGAATCAATGAAATATCGAAGAACGAATGCCGAGATATCACGTATTGAGGCAGATATCTGGCATCATTTGTTGCAAATAAATATCCAACGCGACAGTGATTAGTTATTAACTGTCGGTTGTGCTTCGAACAAACGCGAATTTGAACTGCAGGGATAAGAATTGCAGGATGCTAGATCGTGTTTGTAATTCTTTGTAAGCGTGTGCTTTGTAATTAGAAAATTAACTCGGATCTAACAATTAAGACGATCTAACAAAAATTTGAAAAATTTGATTTCCAATTTTTTTTAAACGAAGAAACAATTGATGAAATGCAGGCACTTTGACATTGGTGTAGAATGGAGCGAGAGTATCTTTGCTTGTTTTTGCGAACAGGTGAGTAGGACGAGAAAAGGTTAACAGGACTCGAGGATATTCCGTTTACATTCTTCTTCGAAACTGGTTTCTCCCTCGTTCGATCGTCAGGGATGTTGTATGGTTCCTTTGGACCATAGAAAGGTTGCCAAAACGCGCGAGAAAAATCAACGAAAGTAATTCGTTACTTCTATCCAAAGGAATTTCAATAGAGAGAGAAAGAAAAAAAAAAGGACTCGATTTCACTTTACAACATTTCAAACACGCGATTAAAAAATTAATAATGTCATCACCATGTTATTGTTATCAATTTATTTATCCTCAGGTAATACAGTAACTTGGTAATAAAATTAAATTCAATAAAAAATTCCGAGATCATGTTGTTTAACCCTTAATAGTCTAATGATGTCAGTTTAAGAGTTCAGAATCAATTATTTTGTTAAATTTTCGTCCTAACAAAAATATACAGCTGTTCCGGTTCGATATTATAAGACATGAAGTGAAAAGAAAGAGTAAAATTGTTTATTTTAAAGCTTCATTGAAAACTTATCAAATTTGGCTAATTCTGTGCTGAAAAATAATGGAAATAATAACCAAGAGCTTGCGAATACAAGTCAAACGTGTAAAATAGAATTTTTTTTTTATAAAACACCTCATTTTCAAGAAAACTGAACCATGTGCACCAAGCCGATATCTAATGAGACACATCCTCGTCGCTTCACTCGCGTGTTTTCGCAGATAGAATGAACTCCAATCGATCGTTCGCTTCTGTCAAATCCAGAATTAGCCAAATTCGAGTGTGCTTAATAAGTTTTCAAACTCGAAACTTCCCAGAAACAAATTCGCTGGACGAAAAAATTTTATTCCTTCTCTTGCCTTTCTATTTTTTTTTTTTTTT